CTCCAGCCTGAGTGACAGAGTGAGACTCCGTCTCAAAAAAAAAACCACACACACACAAAAGATGGAGGGTTGGCTTGAGGATTTCCATTTGTGAGATTGAAGGCATATAAAATACAGGCCTTCAAGGTAAGAATCATCTAAGTAAGACAGCAAAGAAGGCAGAGAAATAACTGCACATACACCTTTCAGAAGAGGTAGCAGAACTTGCGTGCCAAGTCACTACAAGAAAAGCACGTGGTGGTTAGGAAATCAGGACTGAGGGCTTCGCTCCTGTTCCCTCTGCAGCGTGGACGGTGGGGAGCTGTTTGACCGCATCATCGATGAGAACGACAATCTGACGGAACTTGATGCCATCCTGTTCATGAAGCAGATATGTGAGGGCATAAAGCACATGCATCAGATGTACATTCTCCACTTGGACCTGAAGGTAAGGTGTTTTGTATCCTGTGAGATGTTGTATCCTTCCCACCCCTTGCTCAGTGAGTGGGCCCTGTCTGCTCTTCTATGCCAGCTGGGGAAACTGGTACAGGCACTTCAGAAATGAATAAGCATCTGAATTGTTACCCTCATCTCCTTCTTCTCAGCTTCTGTCACTCCCTAATATTTGCATGTTCCATCTTCAGGGGCTAATATTCAGATTCTTGTAATTTGCCTGCGTTAGGGAAATCTATATGGCAATGGTCTCCCTAAAAGTTTAGAATTGAAACAATCACCACCACCACCAGCACTGCAGCGGTAGCCATGTGGTATCCCTCTTGTCAGGACAAGTAGGTGAGGGGATTTTAGCTAATTCAGAATTCCCTAAGTAGCAGCCAACCTTTCCAGGTCTCCAAGAATCGCCAGCAGCTCCTCGAGTCACTCAGGAAGCTCCGGACTTTGGGACTTGTTTTCTGTGGGTTTGCTGCCCCGTGGAATAGAATCCTATGGAGAAGGGAGCAGAGGGCAGTCGGAAGGACGGGGCGGAAGTGCTAAGGAGCAGAGAGGGTGGGGTGGGCACCCCACTGCCAATGGTGGAAAGCACACAGAAGCCAAGCCGCCTTTCTTTCTCCTCCTATTGATCGCCCCCTTCCCTCTTTACCGCTCTCATTATGTCTCACTATGAAATTCCTAGAATCGGACTGTACATAGTCTTAGTTACAACCAATAAAAGACCTAGGCCCAATAACCCTGATCAAGTCCCACGTTGGGACTAAGTATCGTAAAGTACATCTTGTGTGGCTTGGTCATTTTCTCATTTCCCTGTTTGCACAGCATGACAGTAAGATAAAATATATATTCTATATAACATCCCATCTATTGCATGTCACCAGGGATTGCATAGCTAAATAAATTTAGCCTCCTTAAATAGGTTTCCATGGGCCTCTCTTCCTATAACTTGGCTTCCCTCACTGTCTTGATTTATGTGCCTTGCCTTTCCCATTCACTTTTGAGCAGGAGGAGAGCAGGAGGAAGTGGTTTGTAAAATGACAAAGTCAGAGGTTAAAAATCATTAGCAAAACCCTCGCTATGAGCTGAGTTTGATAATGCATGCTTTCATGGAGCATTTTCATTCAATGCAGATATTCTGCAGATATCCCTAAAGGGATTTGATTGGCAACTGGAACTAAGAGCAAACCTATTGTAAGTCAAATGACTCCATATGGGGCTTCATAACATTGATTGAGGACCTGCAGCGGGCAATTTTAGTTATGGCTTGGATGCAAAGATCATAAAAAAGGTGACAGCTGGATGGGTCATTAAGGAGCTGCTTTTCTGAAAGATCCTTGGAAGGAAAAGGGCCAAAAATATTAAGAATGATTGTCACTATGTGGGGGGAGATTATAGGTGACTTACAAACAGTCTGTTTCATATTTTTCTGTTTTGCAAATTTTATCCAATGAACATTCTTTAATTTTATCATCATAAAAAGGCTAACTTTTTGAAATGCCCTCAAAACAGTTTCTCTATATCCTGTCAACTTTTTGGTGCCGCAGTACTCCTTCACAATTGGACAGCTTTATACATGATCAATCAGTTATTTAAGCACGAAACCAAATGTTTCACATAACACCCCTTCTCTATAATGACTTTGACTTACAAACATCTGTTTTAGAGATATTTTAGAAAAGGGCTTCCAAAGATATTCTACCCAACCAAATGTACTATTGAATATTGATAAGGAGATGCTGTGTTATTTCATAATGTGTTTCTGAATTTCTGATCTCATTGGAACCTCTTCTCCATCCGGACAGGTTGGGGAGGGGGAGCCTGCTCCCACTAAAGGCTGAGGAATGGGATCCTGGGCATTCGGCTTCTGGGCTGGTGCCCTCCAGCTCATAAAGAGTTGGGACTGAGGGTTCTTAACTCTTTGAAAACTTTTTTTCTCTTTTATAAATGGCCTTGACTTTAAATTAAATCACTTACTTTCCCCAGACCTCCGTTTTTCGACCCCAATAAACATTAGGTGCACTTGTCGGACATTCTGTGAGTACTGAGGCTGCGCTACAACCTACTTGTCTCCCCTACACCCCAAGGCTGTCAGGTTAGCAGGCTAAGGTCTTACCAGGGCCTAGCTCCAAGGGAACACTTAGTCAGGGGATTTAGGCATTGAGACCAAACTCAGCAAAACCTCGGAACTGCCGAGACCGGAGAATGACTGGAGAGAAAAGCCCTCGTCTCCCGTGCGACTTTCTCGTAAGCGCTGAGCAAAGGGAAGCTCTGGAGGCCGGAACGTTCACAGTACAGTGCACGTTCAGTGCGGCTGTTTAAATGGAGCAGGTCAGTTCTCTTGGAACTCATAAATCTTGGGAAAACTATTTCTCCAAGCAGGGGAAATTCATACTCAATAATGTAGAGGGGCAGATGTCGGGTCTGAGCGGGCCTCCACAGTGCATTTGGGAAGGACTGAAGCAGCCTCCTTTTCTTGCTCCCCTCAAGGCCTCTGCCTGAACTCAGGCATTAGGGTGAACGGTGAAGCCCTGGAGCGGACAGGCTGGGTAATACAGGGTTGGCAGGATACCCGCAACCTCATCGACCACATAATTAAAGGAGAAAGTGCCCACACGGACAAGCCCCCCCGCAGTGAAAGGCCTGATATGTTTTTTCTGAGCATCATTGTATTTTTAGTTGTGGTTCAAGGACAATTTGAGTGAATGATGGTTGTTTTCATTGCTAATGTGTCTCTTTCTCCTGGCAGCCTGAGAATATCCTGTGTGTGAATCGGGATGCTAAGCAAATAAAAATTATTGATTTTGGATTGGCCAGAAGGTATGTCTCTTTGGACATAGGTGTACGAACGGAGGTAGGGGACATGATGGGTGCCCTTTCTTTGCAAACATATATCTGATCTGCTCCTTGGTTTCATGATCTCATTTATAATTAATTTAACAAAAATTATTATGTTTGGCCTTAACTTGCTAAATTTGAGACTTGAGTGTTTAGAAGTTTCTATAATGCATGCAGTAAAACTTATAAAAAATTAAAACCTAATACAGTGACGTTTATTAAATTAGAAGCCATTAATGTAGCATTTGCAAGTGTTTGTCCTCATCTTTCGTATTTGTTCCATCTGTACAGAGAAGATTTACTTTAAAAATATTAACAACGTAAGCAAGATTGCAGAGGGTTCTGGCAATGTAAGATTCTTACAAAGAGTTTACGTGGACACGTTAACAATTCAGCACGTCAACGATGTGTATAAAATAGATGTTGTAAATTATTGCAGTACTGTGTTTATTCATTAATACAGGCTTACTCCAGTCATCCCCGTGTCAATGACTGTATCAGGTTTCCTCTTGTCATCTTCTATAATTCAGATGTTCTAATTATTCACAGTGGCTTCTCCCACAACTGGTTCAACCTATTAAGGTTTCCCAGTATGAATTTTGACTTTTAAATTTTCTGGGACCGCCGTACAAGTTTTTGACACTCTTTCTTCATTGTTTGGGTTCCTTTAATGTTTGTTTAGTTGAAGTTTGCTGTAGGGCTGAAGTTATTTTGTCTCATAGACTGCATCATTTCAGTGTTTATGATTTTTGATTGACACTTCCATCCTCCCACTTTGTCTCTTAAATCGCAGATACAAACCCAGAGAGAAGCTGAAGGTGAACTTTGGAACCCCAGAATTTCTCGCCCCTGAAGTTGTTAACTATGACTTTGTTTCCTTTCCAACCGACATGTGGAGTGTGGGGGTCATCGCCTATATGCTGTGAGTAGCTCTCCCCGTCTCTGACCCTTCTCCATCTCCATGCTTATTTTCTGAGGTTTTGCCATTTTAAATAAAAGCCCAAATTGAGGTCCATAAAAAATAAATAACACTGTCCTATCCTCAGTTGCTTTCTAGGTTCTGTTGAATCCTGTGGGTGAAAGGACTGAATTCTTTCCCTGCACATCATTTGGAAAAGTAAATGTGTGTCCTCTTCATTAATCACTGTAACTCCTAGGACACAACCTAAAAACCAAAAAATAATTTAAAGAGCTCACATGGCCCGGCACGGTGGCTCATGCCTGTAATCCCAGCACTTTGGGAGGCTGAAGCAGGCAGATCACGAGGTCAAGAGATCGAGACCATCTTGGCCAACATGGTGAAACCCCGTCTCTACTAAAAATACAAAAATTAGCCAGGTTTGGTGGTGTGCGCCTCTAATCTCAGCTACTTGGGAGGCTGAGGCGGGAGAATCGCTTGAACCCGGGAGGCGGAGGTTGCAGTGAGCCAAGATCACGCCATTGCACTCCAGCCTGGTGACAGAGTGAGACTGCATCTCAAAAGAAAAAAAAAAAAGCTCATATCCTGATCTGCTAAGTGACTCAGGCTAACCCCACCCCTCAGAGATGACATGCCTGGCGTTTGCCATCTGAGCATGTGGTAGCACTTTGCGAGCTGTAAAGTGATTTAAAAAGGAAGCTAATATTCATATTCATATTCTGTTGTTGCTACTGTCTTTATTGCCACAGTTGTTTAATTAGGAGTTGGGTGGAAGTGGCAAGCATTTTCTTGATTGCAATAATATATTATAAAATTATGCTTTGGGATTACATTATTTTCCTTCTCTCACCTTTGAATGGCAGAACCAGAAAAGCAATCTGTATGGAAAGGGGTTGAGGCTGTTTAAAAAATACTCACTCTGGACCCTGTGTCCTCCAGACTTAGCGGTTTGTCCCCTTTCCTGGGTGACAATGATGCTGAGACGCTGAACAACATCCTGGCCTGCAGGTGGGACTTAGAAGATGAAGAATTTCAGGACATCTCAGAGGAGGCCAAGGAGTTCATCTCCAAGCTTCTGATTAAGGAGAAGAGGTAACCCAAGTTCGTCCTGTGCTCTGGCCACAGTAGGGATGATCAGGAAGCAGGACGTACCACCAGGGCTGTTAGAATTTATTCCCTCACTAACATCTGTGATGCTCATGCAAAGTCATAGACAGAATGAAGTTTGATCCTCTTGACCCTCTCTACTGCGATCTGGGACTGCTTTGGTCATGAAGCTACACAAACCTTTCTCCTCCTGCCATTTATCATGCAGCCGTACCAACCATGGGCTCCTGCTGGGCCTCAATTGACTCACTGTGAAAATAAAGGACTTAGGAGAAGTATTTCTAGGATTCCTTTCACCTCTACAAAGCTGTATATGGTTCTGTGTAGCTGAATCTTTAACTACCATTTCATTTGAGAACCTACTATGGGCCAGATCGTGCCAAGTGCTTTGTAGACATTATCTTTTTTAATCACCGCTCCTGCCCGCACCTCCATGAGGCAGAAATCGGGTGGAAGATCCCAGGTGGTTTGCCCATGATCACACCACCAGTAATTGGCAGAACAGAGGCTCAAACAGATAGTTCTCCTTCCCCCACGGCCACACACTTGGCTGTTATCTATTACATGGGCCTCTATTTTCTGTTATGCTAAAACCACATTAATTCAAAATTCAGTGGATGAAAAAGAGTGACACTGGAATATAGGGATTTGCGTTTTAGAGTCAGAGAAGGAGAAGGGCATTGTGATTAACCCATCAAACACTCTGTTTCAGATGGCTTTCTACCTGAGCCATATAGTTATTGAATCTGTTAAGACTTTCAGGACCAACAGCACTTGTCTTACCGTTTTATTAGCTTTATGGCTTTAAAGTCACAATACACATGGCCATGGATCAACAGGTAGGAGGGTGTCACAGGGAGTGGGGAAACAGTGTAGGCAGGGGATCTGGCACAGAGTCTGGCAAGAGATGCCTTCATTCAAGTGTCGATCACCTACTGTGTGCCAGGAAATGTGTCATGTGTTAAGAATAGATGCACATCCAGTCCCTACCTACAGTAACTCACCATCTAATAAAAAGGATAGGTATTTTTTTAAAAGATGTAATAAAATGTGGTTAACACAAAGATAAGGCCAGAACTGAGTCCCTAGAGAATGAATAGAGCCTAGCCAGGCTAGGAGTATCAGTCAGACAAGAGGGACAATTCACAAATAGTGGATTAATAATAATAATAACCTTGATGGAAAGGCACAATAACAGCCAGGGTTATTATTATTAGCACATTACCCTTCCCAAGGCAGTGAACAGATGGAAACTGTCAACGCTTTCAAATCTTCGGAGGACGAGAAATCCACATTTACTGCGAACTGTTTTACACATGTACTTTTGTGTGTTATCTTATTTGGCTTCTGGATAATCCTGTGGTCTGTGGAGACCATCATTTTACAGATGGGGAAACTGAGGCTGAGAGCAGTGCTACACTCACATGGCCAGCTCAGAGCAGATGCAGAGGTGGACCCAGTGGGCTCCAGTGCTGCTCACTCCTTCAGTCTGAGGGCTTCATGAATGCCCAAGGAGCATCAGATACCCATCTGGGCCGATGGCAACAAGCTTAGAATTCCAGTCAATGCTTGGATGAAACTAAAGCCAAAAGCCAAACACCACTATCATAGAATAAATTTCTGGGGTACAAAAATAAACTTGAAATGTTATTAAAAGTTTAATTATTAGTACAATGTTATTGTTAACTTTTTAATAGCCAGATTTAAGAAGTTCGACCCTAGAGTGCAGAATCATCATTTTTCACCTTGGTCAGTCATTGGAAGGCTCTGGAGATCCAGTGCTGAAAATGTATGACACTAAGCAGAACCACACTTTCAACTGAGGTTGGTGGAAGTCAAGAGATTTTTAAAAATTACCTCTGCCTGTTTTTGGCACTATAATGGTGGTGATGTCACCAAGTTCATTGACTGTAATAAACTTATCTCTTTTTCAAATCTTATACTTAAATATTTTGGTATCTGATGAAGCGATTGCATTGAAGCAATCCTACACACTGAAGCTTCATTAATGCTTGGAACTACCTCTTTGACTTCAGACTGTTGCATTCACTTACAGATTTTTTTTTTTTTTTTTTTTTTTTTTGAGACGGAATCTCGCACTGTCGCCTAGGCTGGAGTGTAATGGCACGATCTTGGCTCACTGCAACCTCCACCTCCTGGGTTCACGTGATCTCCCGCCTCAGCCTCCTGAGTAGCTGGGATTACAGGTGTGCCCCACCACACCCAGCTGATTTTTTGTATTTTTAATAGAGATGGGGTTTCACTATGTTGGCCAGACTGGTCTTGAATTCCTGACTTCATGATCCGCCCGCCTCAGCCTCCCAAAGTGCTGGGATTACAGGTGTGAGCCATTGCGCCTGGCCTACAGTTTTTATTTTGAAAGGTTATTTGTTTTAATGTGATAAATCTTAGCACATCAAACAAATTTATAGAACTTAGAATTCGAATATAGTAAATCTATATTATTCTTCTTCGTATTATTTCCCAAAATTGTATAAACCTTTGCTAGCTCCAAAAGGATATTGTTTCTTTGTAAAAGTATCTAATAGTCCCTCTCTTAATAATTACATTGACTCTATTTCCCTACCTATTTAACTCAAAACTTCTTAATTCAAAAGTTAGTAATATTAATTATTCAAAAGTTTTAATACATAAACTGCTTTGGCAATCATCAAGAATCATTGTAGCATTTTGCTCTTATAATAATATATATTTATTTTTCAACTGACTGATAGGAATCCACTTTACTAAGTTCAGATGTTATACTACAGAAATGGTTACTTATATTTGAAAGTAAGTGTTCAGTTATTAACAAGGATTTTTATTATTTGTCTTGTTTGTCTTTACTAATGTTTTCCTGATTGGATTTGATAGTCACCTATGCCATCACTGATAGCACACAATTCAAGAGAAGGCAGAACTGACCATGAGCTTGACATTCGGCCATCTGGTCTCCCAAAGGCAGAGGCTGGAGCTGAAATTGAACAGCAGATGCAGACCTTCTTTGGTGTGTTTCTGTTAATCACCTTCTGAATTTCCCTCTAGTTGGCGAATAAGTGCAAGCGAAGCGCTCAAGCACCCCTGGCTGTCAGACCACAAGCTCCACTCCAGACTCAATGCCCAGGTGACCACGGCTTCTTACTCTTCCTCTTTTCCTCCTGTCTGCCTGTCTTTTGCAGATCAGATGCTAGAGTCAACTTAACCTTAAATAAGGTTCTTTCTCATTCCTTTTCTCACGGACTACAAATCTTGTGTGCGTATTAAATTACCTAAAATGCATTTTTTAAAAAAATTATTTATTTATTTATTTTTATTTATTTATTTATTTTGAGGCAGAGTTTCACTCTTGTTGCCCAAACTGGAGTGCAATGGTGCGATCTCAGCTCACTGCCACCTCCACCTCCCGGGTTCAAGTGATTCTCCTGCCGCAGCCTCCCAAGCAGCTGGGATTACTGGTGTACACCACCATGCCCGGCTAAGTTTGTAATTTTAGTAAAGACAGAGTTTCACCATGTTGGTCAGGCTGGTCTCAAACCCCGACCTCGTGATCCACCCACCTCAGCCTCCCATAGTGCTGGGATTACAGGCGTGAGCCACTGCACCTGGCCTTAAAATGCTTTTTTGGGCAGTTTGCATTTTAAAAATAATGTATTTGTTGTTTAATAGAGTATTTTCAGCACAACTGTTTATTATTAAATTGTTGTATCCATTATAAAATGAATTAATTCATTGTCTTATGTGCACATACATACAGACATATAACCTATAAACATATAAAGTTCTGGAGAATATATAGTAATATTCATTCAGGAGAAGTATGCCTCCTTAAAACAGAATTCAGAATTCTAAATTGTGTGCTCACCTGGCTTGGTCTGCTCTGGGCACTGAATCTAATTATTAGCTAACTCAAATCTATTAGAATTATCTAATACTCAGCTTGGTCCAGATATCTATACACGTCTTTGTGTAGGAGACTCTTAGACTACAGACTGAGTACGGTGAATAGCCTAGCCCGCTCTCTGTAATAACTTCTTACAATGAAATCTTCATCTACTCTCATCGCCTTAATTACCAGATGTTCATATTCCAACTTCCTCATCTGCCTCTTTGGCAAAGATATCTTTCCTAAGCTGCAGAACCATATGTCCATCTGTGTACTAGATGTTTCCACCTGGATCTTCCCACCCCTAAACTAATCTCATCTCCCTGCACCTCGCCTCACCATCAGCGATCCTCCTAGGGAAGGATGCCCTGGAGCGGCCTCAGCCAGCCCCCGTGTATCTTGTTTGTTTCCTTCCTCTCCCTCAATCCCCCATCTCATGTTTAATTTACCTCTATGTTCTGTACATGATATCCCCTAATTACCCCTGGAACCTGTGTATTTCTCTCCATTCCCATGGTTACCGTGGCCTGGGACATGCCTCCCTGAATGACTGCAGCCTCCTGACTGGCTACTTGGCCTCCTTCATGTTGTCTCCATCCAAATGATTGTGGATTATATAATTAACACAGAAACAGATGTGCAATGCCCAAGTAACTTTACTGAACATCCAGGATGTTCAATTGGCAAGATGCACATACAGGCAAGACACCATGCAAACCTTTGGGCCCACCAGGGATCTGTCTGACGTGCCCATCTGTTAGGGTGGCTGGTGCCCTGCCCTGGTATAGCATGGGTTTGATACGTTTTTGTTTCTTCCACCTTTGCTCCTCATCCTCTCCATTTCCTGAGGTTTTTGGAATGGAACTTTTTCACTGACCAACAAACCTTGGAATGACTATGCCTTTGGTACTCACTTTTTCCACATCCAGTTTTTATTGAAATTAACTTTACTTCTAAATTCAGCATCGGCACTAAGTTTTATTTGTGTCTGAATATACCTTTCCTTGATAATTGGTACTGATGTCAAGTAAAAATAGACTTATTACCTAGTGGGTACCTCATCCAGACTACATAAACTGCTTATTAGGGTTACCAACCTATTTTGAGCCAATTTTCCACCAATGTATTTTTATCCAAGCTTATTGGTGTCCAAATACACTTTGACATGGTAGGATAGTATAGAAACCACAGCAGATAATTAATGACATTGTACAGTTTAAAAAGTTTAAGAATATTTTTTAAACCATGTAACAACAAGTAAAATCACCTTTTGTATCCATCCATCTACTGGTACCTGAGGTGAATAGATAGTTCAAGAGTGATGATGGTTTTTTTCTTTTTTTAATGAAAAACAAATGCCATTTTATAAATCTAGTTATTACAGTTATAATTATACAGCATTGTGGAGGCACCCTTCTAACTGCTTTAAGAAAAATACCTCCCTCACTCCTCATAGCAACCCATGAAACAGGCACATTAGTGTCTGTAGCTGAGAACACTCAGGACAGGGCTGAGCTCTGGAGTCCGGACAGAGCCTCACTGCTCTGCTCTCCTGCTGCTGATGGGCTGCTGGGTACCGGGGACCTGAGCGATGCTTCCAGAACCTTTCCTGTACCATACGGTTTTAGTGTTACTCAAAGTCAATATTCAAACTTAGTATATCTTACTTTTCAAGGAAATATTGAGACTAAAGTTTCCCAGAAGGCTTATTTTTAGAATAATCTTGGTTTTACAAAATCAGAATTTACCTTTAAGTTGAAAATTTAATTCTGATCCAAAACTGTTTACCATTTCAACCTAAATTCTATTGTTAAGTCTTTCGTGTATTTTTATTTGTCTCTTTTGCTTCGAGCTTAAAAGCACTTGCTATTTTGTAACCACTTGAGTAGCATATTGACTGTCACTAAATTTAAGACGGATTTTTTTTCTTAGAAGTTAACATCCGAGAGTTCTCTGCCCTCTGTATTATGCTCAAGGTGACATGCGATGACTCCCAGCCTTTCTTACATCCCCAACCATCTGTGTGTAACCTGTTTCCATCAGAAGCAGCTCTCAGCTGGGGTGGGGCAAAGCACTCCCAAACTAGGAATCTACTAGAACTCAGCACCTGCTGCAGAATTAGCCAGGGTTCTGGGGCCAGAGGAAGGAACATGACACGAATTTGACATGGTTTCTTTCCCCCAGAGCTAAGAAGCCTCTGAGCCTTCCTTCCCATTCTCAGTGTTGTGACCTTGGCTCATGCCCTTTCAGTGAACTAATAAAACAACCTGTGAACTGATATCCAACCTCTACTCACCCTCTTCCCTAATCTATCAAATCATTAGTTCCTTAATTACAGCTCAGACCTTGATTGAAAAAATCTTCACACGTTTCCCATGGTCCACACCAGACCCAACCCAGTTGCAGTCAGGGCCTGCTCCAGGACGCCCCCAGCTCTTATTTTGAGCCTTGTCTCCACTGCTGCCTCCAGAGCAGCCCACAAGTCAGTACTTGTCTAAGGCCTGTATTAAATGCCCCGGCTTTTCTCAGTCCTTAAACTGGACTCTTTCTCTGTGTTCTTGAATCTCTTTGTGGAATTCACATTATCGTTGTCTACTCAATTTGAAAACTTTTGGAAGAAGCTGTTCCTGTGTCTGACTCATCTTTGCAGTCATCGTATCCTCAGTATCGCAAGTGACAGGGCACTCTTGTGCTATATCAGCGTGAGTTTTGGCAAAACACACCTGAGTGTGATGAGGTGCTGAGCTATTTGGCCCTGACTCTGTGTGAGAAGGAAGGGTCGTGTGACGGGCCTCAGGAGAGACTGGACTCTGAGATGGACTCCGAGGTTGGCCAGGGTGTCTGTCAGGGGGTTGTCAGGAATGTAAGCTTCAAGAATCTCTCTTGAAGAGCACCTTCTACTCAGTAGCAAGTGACTGTCTTTTCACGTGTGCTCGTAAGTCAGGGCCTGATGGAAACAGTCCTAATCCTTCCCACATGCCTTCTGCTTTCCCTAGAAGAAGAAGAAGAATCGTGGCTCTGATGCCCAGGACTTTGTGACCAAATAGTCTACAGGAGGCACCCATTTGAAAGGTTAGTCTTGGGTCTCCTCAAGAGGTGTCTGTGAAGGCCTTAAGAGACAGGAATAAGAAAGAAATGGAACATTTGCTCACAGACTGTGCGGGAAGAAGAGCCGCGTTTTGGCTGGCGTGGAGGGCCCTGAAATCAGAATGCTGTGTTTGCACCCTGGCTCTGCTGTTTCTTACTGGAGGAAGTTCAGTGCCTGACTTGCGGGTTGGGGAGAGTCTCACTTCCTAAGCTTGTTGAGTGGCTCCCATGAGAGCATCCAAGCAAAGCCCCGAAACCAGGGCCTGGTGTGTAGGAGGGATCAATAACCAGCTCAGGGGGTGCTGGTAACCGTCTGGGGGTAGTCCTTAGACAATGTGTGAGATCAGAGGAAGTGACACCCTCTTTTGTACAGATGGGGAAATTGCATCTCAGAGACTCAGAGGCTAAATAACACCCCCACGGCCATGCAGCTTGTAAAGGGTGGAGTGTGGTTCCCTTGGGTGTTTCTGAAGCTGACGCCCACGTTTTTTAATCCCCTGAGCTGCTTCCTGATCTTGGCCTGCTCTACGAGCCCAAAGAATACCACCTCCTACACACCCAGACACATGTGGACCTCCACCTAGCTCAGGTGTTTTTGGAGTCATTGAGAGATGGGTTTACACATGAATACCTTCTTTGATATCAATAATCTAGCCCAATGTAGCCCTAAAGGAGAAGACTAAGAGGCACATGTACTTACGAAGGACTCTAAGAAAACCCAACATTCATGTCCTTGCCGGGGGCCTGGACCCTGCAGCGAGTCAGCTCCCTAATCTTGGGCGGGGAGTCCACAGCCATTTTTTCAGCTCCATGCATGGAACTGCACACGGCTGATGACTTGTGAGTTCTTGCTGCTCACTGTGTTTTTTTGTTGTTGTTGTTTGTTTGTTTTTTGAGATGGAGTCTTGCTCTGTCACCCAGGCTGGAGTGCAATGGTGCTATCTTGGCTCACTGCAACCCCCACCTCCCAGGTTCCAGCGATTCTCCTGCCTCAGCATCCTGAGTAGCTGAGATTACAGGCACCTGCCACCACGCCTGGCTAAGTTTTGTATTTTTAGTAGAGACGGAGTTTCACCATGTTAGCCAGGCCAGTCTCAAACTCCTGACCTTAGGTGATCCACCCGCCTCCGCCTCCCAGAGTGCTGGGATTACAGGGTGAGCCACGGGGCCCAGCCTGGTCTTCATCCTTTCTTCTGATAGGTCTGTGTCTGGGCCTGAGGTTTCTGCCCAGGCAAAAAAATCAAACCTTTTTGATTGTACACATTCTTGTAAGCTGCCTTGAATTTCTGTAGAATAAGATGGGGTAGAAATGATCAGTACCTCATAGTAAAGGCCACGCATCAGTACTAGGAAAACACTTGGCCTTTGGAGGAAAGGAAGCTTACATATGCCCCTGTCACTTATTTAGAAATCCACAAAAAGTGAACAGGAAGGCTTGTGCATTCTATTTACAAAGACCATTCTTCTTTGTCAAAAACAGCAAGGACATGAAAGTCTCGATAAAGTAGGGGAGAGTTTTGTTTCTTGTGAGGACAACCTGGCGCAAGAAAGGACCCTCGTGCCCCCAGGCCTAGGTTATGGCCCTCGGCGAGGTGCCCCAGCCCTGCTCCGTGAGTGCCTGGATCCACAGACAACCAGGCTGTGTCCGCTCCTTCTCCCCGCCCCGCCTTCACCCTCTCCCCCAGAAGCAGTTTTGTCCCTAGCGACCACAAACCCCAAGGGTTTGCCACAAACCACCTTCCCACCATAAGGACTGGAGCCACTTTGGAGGCCTGATGGGAATGAATTCACTGGGTGACAGGGTTGCATTCCAAGGCGGGCCTGCTGCCAGGGTCTGGCGGGGGAAGAATGAGGAGGAAATGGTGATGGGAGGGGGTAGAGTCCTTCCACACAGACATGGGTGCTTTGAACCCGATGTGATGGAAGACAACAGCAGCCTATGAAGTGATGGCCATGCAGAGGACGAAGACAGCACATTTGGGCTGGCCACGCTGGGACAGTTGGGCACAGCCTCTGCTGGAACTGCTTGAGGAAGCCTGCTGACGGTCATGGAGCCGGCTGCCTTCCTTTCCTGCACTCTTCAGCCCCCTTGGCCTCAGAAATTCACCTGAGTCACACCACAGGCCAAGGAAGAATCATTTCAGATACACACGATTTGGATACTTCCTAGGCTGGGGTGCAGTGTCGTCAGCATAGCTCACTGCAGCCTCAAACTCCTGGACCCAAGCGATCCTCCTACCTCAGCCTCCCAAGTAGCTGTGAGAAAAGGCATGCACCACCACGTCTGGCTAATTTTTAAGTTTTTTGTAGAGGTGGGGTCTCACTATGTTGCCCAGGCTGGCCTTGAACTTCTGAGCTCAAGTGATCCTCCTGCCTCTGTCTCCCAAAGCACTGAGATTACAGGAATAAGAGCCACCATGTCCCGCCTACCTTCCTACTTTAAATAAATAAATAAATAAAACTTAATGTAAGATTTTAACTCTGGGAGCAGCCTCATTTGAGAAGTTAGAGAAAAAAAAAGATTATTCTTCACAATAATATTCCCCGTCAGGATGAGATGGGTTTATGGCAGGATGTATTATGACGGAAACCAAATTTGAGATAATATTGATTTTAAAAATCTGGTGGTTGAAGATTATTCCTGTGGAAAAAGAAAAAGTTCCAGGCCGATAAATAAGGCGTAATTCACAATGTCAACCGAGGCATATACATCTCCTGCAATTTGTCAGACGAAATATTCCCAAAATCAACCTGGTGGCATTTTGTTTCTGGTTACCTCTGTCGTATCTTTTGCCAACTTATGGGATATAAATTTAGGGTACTCCTCAGATCCACAGGAATGATGGCAGGTAGCCGTGTGCGGGCCCCAGGTCAGACGTGGTCATAAAGCACATGGAAATGTCCCCACACCTGAGGCCACATTCTCACTTTGATGCTGGGATCAAGCTGACCAGATGGATGGAGTGGCTGTACTTCAGGTGAAACAAAGAGGCCTTGTGTTTCAATATTGCAAATAGTCCTAAAATATCTTGCACAAATTTACCCATGTAACAAACCTGCACACGTACCCCTTGAACCTAAAATACAAGTTGGAAAGAAAAAAAAATATCTTGCACAAACTAAAAATTAAAAAGCCCAGCTCTGGTAAGTGGTGGCATCCATCAAGAGGTTTCTTTTTTTTCCCCGCTCACATACACACATACGTTATTTAAAAAAATCATCTGTGGTTTTCCTAAGGGGTACAACCAACTAATTATAATTTTAAAAGCCCTGCTGAATTAACAAGATTCATATTTTGTTTGCTTTGCAGGAAAACTGCTGCGGTTGCTGCTGCTACGAGAAAATTTTTTGAAAAATCAGCAGTTCTGATGCCTTGACCCTTATGATGATTGGCAGTCTTAGCAGGGGGAGCCCTCGACCCTGAATTTGAACTTGAACTGGAGTGCCTCTGCTGCGTTCAGAGGATGCCCAGCGCTGCGGTCTGCTCTCAGGGCGCAGACACATCCCTGCACCCGGTGGTAGTGACGTTGGGAAGATGTTCCCTGCCATCTTGAGAGTTTTTACTTCTAAAAAATTTTTTTTGATCTTAGTCACTGGGGGAGGGGCGCATTGTGTCTGCTATTTCTCAGATGACTACAGCCATGACACTTGAGATGTACCAGAGATTTTAAAACTGGAGGATGCATTTGGAGGGAGGAAGCTACTTCTAGCCATTAGACTATGCCTTTTGAAGGGGCAATTAGATGGCCAGAAAGAATTCTAACTCCCATGCACCCTTGAAGACTTAGTTTCTCAGACTCCGTCATTTTGTCTACGGTCACATGACTACAATGGATAAATAATTTGCTTGCTGGAACAGAAGCTGTCTTTGAATTCCCCAACAAGAGGCATCAGCCACTGTGTCTTTCATTTATTCTTAATTGTCCCCAAAGCGCGTTTTCTTCCAAGTAGCTGATTCTGTTTTTCACATCTGTACTCCCTGCACCCTTCTGACTGACAGTTCATCCCCACAAAACACATTGGTTTTGAGAGGTGATGCAAAAAGTATCTGTTTATGGTTGGTCTTTGAAATTCTGACCTTTGGAATAATGTCAACAGTCACAAGAGGTTTCCTCAAGCCCCAGTTGTCAACGAAAAGAGACAGATCTGCACCTCCTGGAGCAAGACAGCACTGAGCTTTTAATGTTGAAGTGACTTGGGAAGTAACCTTCAAGCTTCTGGGTAAACACAAACAAACATTGACAAAGACCAAGTCCAGTCTCTCGCCCTGCTGTCTCACGGGACTCAGTGGGGGTAAAGAAATCGCAGTTGGGCACCAGAGGTGACGGCAACTCTGCGAGTTCACCTGCCGGACGTGAGAACGTTGGAATGTTCCAGTTGGAAGGTTCCTATGCCTAGCCCATGTGCCATTTCACAGCAGATATGTTAGAAGGGAAATGGTCCTGCTGTAGATAGTTATGGGGCCCAGAAAGGCACTGGGCTTTAAAGAGCAAAACGACTGTGTCGTTTCCACATGAGGGAGAGGCAAGGAAAAGCCCCACAAAATTCCCATTACCCGCTCAACTCCAAGCTCACCACCCAGCTTCATGAACTTTCCTCACATTTTCCATTTCCAAATAACTGTTGCGTTGAATCAGCTGTGTTAATGCCTTTATTCTTTGCGTTTTGTTTGTTTGTTTGTTTTTGTTTTGACGGAGTCTTGCTCTGTCGTGAGGCTGGAGTGCAGTGGCACCATCTCAGTTCACTGCAACCTCCGCCTCCCCGGTTCAAGCGATTCTCCTGCAGCCTCCCGAGTAGCTGGGATTACAGGCGCGTGCCAGCACGCGTGGCTGATTTTTGTATTTTTCGTAGACATGGGGTTTCACCATGTTGGCCAGGATGGTCTCAATCTCTTGACCTTGTGATCCGCCCGCCTCGGCCTCCCAAAGTGCTGGGATCACAGGCGTGAGCCACCGTGCCCAGCCAATGCCTTTGTTTTTATTCATCTGTCCTTCTAAGCTCCTGTTGTCACAATAGCAATGAAAGGTATAAGAATTACTTGGCAGCCTCTTCAGGGATGGCCATTTCACTTTGCATCAGCTTTCCCCCATTATGTCTCCGATCCACCTAAGGAATCCTTCCTTACAGCATGCCATGAATGTATGCAGCATCCTTGCTCTCATCTTTAAGGTAAGGAGGAAGTAGAGATAGCAGGAAATGTGTGATTTGGTGAAGGCCACATGCAAATTTTGTGGTCGTGCTAGTTATAAAACTGACTCCTTTCTAGCCTTTGCTCTTATATTATGATGCATTTCTTTTTCTCCTTTGGCCTTGCATTTATCCAAGTTTGGTTTCTTATGTTCCTGTTATGTGACTATGCTTCAAATGTTTAATTTAGTTTCCTTAAAACACACACACACACACACACACACACACACACAAAACCTTGTGACTGGAGTGTTATATTACTATGCTATCTTTAGCTGATGCTATTCATTGAGGCTGGAAAAATACAAGCCAGTGCTTGCATTAATACTTAGTTAGACCACAGAGAGCTGGCATTCACTCAAGTGCTAAACAGGACACGAGGGTCTGATTTGAAGCCCCTTGTGGCAGGGCGTTTTCTGTCCTGTGGTGTGCATTCTCTACCAAATCGAGCATGAGATCTTTTGCACGACATGCAATTTGCATCCACCTTCCCTTCTGACTCATGTTGGCAGATAAACTGTCCCCAGACCCTGCCACACACGGAAGAGACAGCTCAGGCCAAATACAGGCATGATTTCTTTGCCAAGTTAATCCACGGATGACCCTGCAGTGAGTGGGTGTGATTTTTGTTTTGTTTTGAGGTTTAGAAAGGAGACTCTACTTTGAAAACGGATCTTGTTTGATTCTGTAGTTAAATTTCCACATTTGGAATGGGACGGCATCTCCATGCCAGCAGGGTGCCTTTTAAATGAGTGCTGAGGGTAGTTTGCATTGCAGAGTTGATGATTACAGTCTAGAGTTACTTGAAATGGGAGATTATCAGTCTGGTGTTCATCCCGCCCCTGCTCCATGTCCTTGTGTGGCTGCTCCAGCGAGAGCTGGTAACTAGGTAGACTGCTGCTCTAATGGGAAAAGGGGGCTTTGCAAAGCTGAGGAATCAAGCCAGATGCGAGCATGGACGTAGAAAAGCTGAGTCTGACTAGGCCAGGGCTATGGAGATCAGTTTTTCCAGCAGGTCATTAGGATTTGGGAGGCTGTATTTCTCCTCCACCCTCTTAATGGATGCTATGGCTTTGCTCACTCACTAGGCAGTTCCCACTTTCTTTAGCAAATGGAGGAAATTAAGCACCATGTGGCACTTCCCCACTGCCTGGAGAGAAATAAACCTCACAAATTATTAAGGAGAAGGCATGCCACATTGGTAATTTGGAGGACACCAACACTTACCCAGAATCTGTTGCTATTTAAAAATCACGGCGAGGAGGGCACATGTCCACATTTGTTACATTAGAAACTTTGGAAGAGACTCACCTGAACTAACTTGGGGAAACAGTTTCTAGGTTGAAGCTGGTAATACTTATGTCTGTTGAGTGCCATAAGTTTATTTTCAGTTATTTTGTCTAACTCGATGTTAATTTGCATTCTTTCCTCAAAAATGTAAGTAGGCATGTGGCCATTGTGGCTTGCTTTGATGTATGTTTGGAAAGATGTGTGAATACTTAATTTTTATCCATTTTGTGGAAATTAGCTTAGCAATTTTTTTCTCTTTTAAGAATCAAAATATGGATTTGATACTAGGAACACAATTTGCTCTTTATTTCATTCCTTTTTTGTCCCTTCTGCTTCCTCTGCCCCTCCCCCAGCCACCCAGCACGGGGTGCCAGTGCGCATGTGTGTGCTGAGGGCCAAATGACAGAACCCCGCTTGAAAATCCACTTGTAAAAGCACAAGTGAGAGGCAGCATGTGGTCCTCGGACTCGGTTCCCTCCTGTCCCCCGGCCTTCCTGTCGTCCCTGTGCGCGGCGGCATCACCACAGCCCACTTCTCAATGTCCGCAAAGCTTCGCCTTTGCTTCTGCACTCTCTTTTACATTTTTTTACTTCTTTCCTTTTTCTTAAGTTAGAATCCAAGTTTGTCTTCTTATCCATCACCGCGCTCCCTGAAAACCTTTTTGAGATTAAGAAATTTTCTTACCAGGAGGCGACTTTCCATCTATCCTAAAGGGAAGTGGGTGCTGGGGTTATTAGATGCTGGGTTCCTGGAGTAAGATGACTTCCTTACACAGCTTGGAGTCTGCAGTTTTCAGTTAGAAGTGTTCTATATTCCTTTTTGCGCCATTTTAGTGGGCTGTGCTTTGTGTAAGTGGTCTTTCTATGGGCAGTTTCACCTTCCATGAAGGCTTATAACTCAACCACTGCTGCCCATTCAGAAGAGCAGAGAGCATCTGCTGTGTGGGCGTTCATATGTTACCTAATGTGTGTTTTGCTGTTGTCTCAGCTGATGGATGTCAGTGAGTCTTTCTGACTAGGTTTATTGGTGTGGATAAGAAATTTAAAAAAAGGATTCATAACGTGGTGATTGTGTCTATCATGTACATTTTAAATTTCTGAACATAGTTTCATTTGGCTGTTTTTCTTTGCTTTATAAGGATGTATAACAATCATGTATGTGTATTATATTGAAGAATAAACATGGACCTTATTTATCTTTTGATTAATGGGCTCAGTCATTCAAAGACATTGTATTAGTCCATTCTTGCATTGCTATAAAGAACTACCTGAGATTGGGTAATTTATGAAGAAAAGAGGTTTTATCAGCTCATGGTTCTGCCAGCTGTGCAGGCTTCTGCTTCTGAGGAGGCCTCAGGAAACTTACAACTCCACAGAAGAAGGTGAAGGGGAAGCAGACACAGTCTTCACACGGCCAGAGCAGGGGAGAGAGAGCGAGAGAGAGCGAGGGGGGAGGTGCTACACACTTTCAGACCACCAGATCTCGTTAGAACTCACTATCACGAGAACAGCAAGGGGGGAATCCACCCCCATGATCCAGTCACCTCCCACCCGGCCCCTCCTCCAACACTGGGGATTACAATTCAACATGAGATTTGGGCAGGGACACAGAGCCAAACCATGTCAGACAAATACAATGCAAACTGCTTTACTTCAGGTCTAACATGTCAATTCCTGTGACATTCAGAACCCAAGCTACCTAAAAGAGCCTCACACTTACAGGGGCCCCAGCGCAGTCCACGGTGACACTGGCCAGCCACGTCAGGGAAAACAACTCTAATTTGAAGACATGGTGGTTCCGGTGCACCAAGACAAGGTTCAGGGTGGCTTTTTTTCCCTATTAATACAAAAATATCGACTTAGATTTATGTAAAGTGTCTAGTTTCAGAGGATGTTTAATAAATTATTAAGGCAATTAGTAGCAATTCAACCCCTTTCATCTCTGTTAGTGATTATTCCTTAAACGCTGAAAAGTGTCTGCTTCAAAAGTCCCAACACTGAAGGACCTCAGTAAAAAGCAGCCACCACAGGCCCCACGATTGCTTTCTGGGTGTGTTTCTTGTCTGGAGATGGGTCTGTTCTCTCCCAGGCCTGCATGTGAGTCTGGGGTTGACACCTGGATCTAGGCCAACACTCCCCTCTCAGCCCAGCAGTGGTCAGCTCTCCCAGCGGGAACAAGGCCCCCCAACCCTGGCAGGGCTTGAGGTAGGCCTGCTGGATTTTCCAGCGCCCACACTGCAAGCCTTAGGGAGGGACGGGGCTTTGTGTTCTCACATGAAGCAATCTCGTCTTGAATGTACTCTTTTGCCACTCAGACTTCTAGGTGAGGCATTCTCATTTCTTCCCCACAGTGAGGAATCCTTGGCCCTCCCTCCATATTGCTTGGAGTCTGCAGTTTGCAGATGACCACGTCCTTTCCCAGGAGCATATTCTCAGTGCTGGAGTTTCAGGGTCTGTGACTCAGCGAGAGGCGTCAGCCATCTTCTTCCTCCCTGGCCCTTCTTGGCCTCTCCCGGGGTAAGGTGGATGGGGGGTCTCCCTCACCACGCCCACAGAGGGAGGGCGCTGAACCCCTTCACCACTCATCTTCCCACTCCCCATTTGGAAACAGGACACCAACCTTACCCTGAGATCCTGAGCCATTAGGAAGATTGGTTCTTGGTCCTCGCCCTTCAGTCATTTCTCTCTCCCACTCCTAATTTAGGGTTTTTCCAAGAGCTTGTAATCAGCGCTCTCCAGACAGCACTGTGGGGACATCGGGTCTCATGAAAGATACTCATCTGAATTTAGCTGGTTCAGGACCTCACAGCTCACCTGCCTATTTCTAGGGACCTCCAAAATATTCTAATACAAGTCTAGCATCCAGTGTGTCAGAGAGAATGGGCTCTTCTGGCAGGATACACCCCCACCGTCTGGGCACCTCCCTGCCACTTCCCTGGTCCACCCTGAGAGACACAGCTCCCCCTGACAAGGGGGCGGCTTCCTGGCATCCTGCAAGAGGCAGGCCCTCAAGGGAGCAGCGATGCTGTATTTCCTGGAGTCCCCGTCGGCTAACACTGCATGCACAAGCCAGGCAGAAGTGCAGAGGTGCCACCACTCAGCCTTGCTCAGACAGACCCAGGTCAGTGGCCACCACAACTCTTAGGATCTTCTCCAGAGCTATGAGAAGTGAAGGCAACAGATCTCCCCCCAGCCCCCATCACCTGCCTGCTACGTGGTGTTTGGTACAATAAGAGCAAGGCTGAATTCTGCAGGCTGACTTCTGCCACACCCCCAAATGAGGAGTAGCCAGGACAGCCA